AATAATGTAGCACACAAAAAAGGGCATAAGACTACTTTACCAGTCTTCATGCAAGTTTGACTGCTGTATTTTTATAGACTGTAGTCCTATATTAAGCTCTTTATAGACAGTCTGTGCTTGTAATGGAGTATTTTTGGAGTTATTGCCACTTTTGCTTACTTTAAGTAAAGTACCTCAATGCTTCTTCCACTACTGCCTTCAAGACCTCATTTTTTCTTGTCAACTATATTAACAATGCTGTGGGATTATTTAAACCCTAATCCCCTCACTGAATAGCTCTTCCCGGTGGTGAAGAAAGAAAATCATCTAACACTGATGGGAAAGCATGATGATAAAAACAAAACCCCTACATTTTTTCCTCTTTCTGCTCCTTTTAGAAAACACGCGTTAACCTGTGAGAAACATAGCTGAAAGTTAATATATCATATTTGAATGAAATAACTTTATATTTCGTACATATAGGCGTTATCTTATTCTGCAAAGTACTACCTTGTAACTTGCAGGCACAGTGGAATGAAATGGCATTTATCTTCTTGGACTCCAGGGATATCCCACTGTATCTCTTCAGGACCAGTCCTCCATCATTACACCAGACTGTTGTGGATCCAGTTTCATATTTAGTTGTAAGGCTACTGCAGTGTGCTGGTAATTATGTCGTTTGAGACAGACCCAGGGAGGGAAACATTTTTAATTGTGTCTGTTCTTGTACCTGCACACCTTTAACATCCATTAAACATTACAAAAAAGTGAAATGTTGCCCCTCACTAGCATTATTTAAAACGTGGCAGTACCACTGTGGCAGTGGGGGCACAAATGATACACTCTACCAAACAAACAAAGTCAAGCAGTGAAACATTTTGCATACATTTTTATTCATCTTAAATCTTGTGTAGAAAAAAAAAAAAAAAAAAAAGAATCAGAGAAACAGACATTCTCTTTTCCTTCAGCCAATCATTCCCCCCAGTACTCAGAATATATTGATAACAGGAAAAATTCTTACACCAGCATGTACAAAACAAAACCATAATGAAACCTTAGTCTAACAGATAATTTCAACAGAAACGCAAGAATCGGAAGGCTATTAATAATTTACACACATCAAAACCTTGGTAACAAATCAGCTATCAATGTAACAAAAAGGGGGGGATAAATAAGAAATTTGTTTGATTTGATCTCCGCTCTTTGAGGTGTTTCAGTGGTAAAGGTGAGGCAAAAATCAGACCACAAACACTGAAATACCCACCCAGATCTCATCATATGGGTCCAAACTGGCAAAAGTCGGCCACACTGTGATGTGGTCGGACTCTTAAACAGAACCCAAATCACAGACACTCCCAGCCTGAAACTACAAACCTGCCTAGGTAGGGGGAGGAAGAGGGCACACGAAAAACAAGTAAGGAAGCTTTGTACTGGGATTATGATAATCAGGGTAACAGGTCTAGACACAAGGAACAACGCCAAAGTCCCGTAATGGCAGTAAAGAACCTGAAGAGTAGTCTGTCAACCAACACACGAAGAGGAAGCAATAAAAAGAAACATCATTAACTAGCTCCTCAGCTACCAGACATGTCACCAAAGCAACCAGCACAGATCATTAGCCAGGTCTCAGATCAAACTCGTCTTTCTACCTGTGACTGACTTCCTCCTCTCATTAATGACGAGACACAAACAGCCTCCAGTGAACATTAAACTGTACCAAACTAGACACAAAAATCCCTAGAAAAGCTCCATCCTTGTTTTGTTTTTGTACAGCAGCCACAGGCGAATGACATAAGTCCCATAATGTCCTACATGTCTACATGTAGTGAAAGTCAGTTAGCAACTCACGTCCTGGTTCTTCTAATGGTCAAAACCACCATGTTAAAAGTCACAAACATATTTTCTTTCCAGCCCGACACCTTCTGGTAACCCCAGTTTGTGCCTCTCATGGATTACTATTACATTCGAGTCACACAGCTAAATGTCTTTGAGAAACCCAGAAGGTTTCTGAAGGTATTTCCATATTCACAATTTGTACAATGTGAACCAAAAGTTACAAAGTTTTATGATCAGTTATTTGCCAATATTTATGTTACATTGTATTATTTTACATTTCCATACAGAATAATGCGGTAATATATTTCTCCTGTTGTACAAACAAAGCAAGGAGATATATCATATCAATCTACCTGGATAGGGAAAAATAGTCCCAACTTGGGAAATGGGCTAAACATGTTTGTTATTGTGCAAGTATTATTATTTTTTAATCCAAGTAGTTAGAAGGGTCTTTGAGGATTCAGGGAATACCTTCAGAACTGCAGTAAGTGTTAAATGACCACTTTGGGTTTTTTCAAAGATCACTAGGTTTTTGTTTTTCCACTGCACTTCCATGTTCCTAACAGCTCCTCTCACAGCGGATGATCTGAGAAACAAACCAGCCTTCAAAGATCATCATCACAGTTAATAAGACTTATTAGTTTTCTTTGTATGACCAATTTCTTCAAAATCTTAGCTGTTATAATCTACAACGAGTTTTACTGATTATCTGCAGAACAGTGAGAAATATTTACCAGCATAGACCTGGTTTTCCCTACTGGCCATCATGTTTCTGTGCCCCCCCCGACCCCTCCAGGATGGCTTGGTTTGTGGTTTAAATTGACCACAACAGCACACCGTAAGGTCGTCATTACAGCCGTACAACAGAGATGAGATTTTTTGTTTTTCTGTACATGTAAATAGATTGAAAAGAAAAAAGTGAGGTAGATGGATGGTTGAAGGAATAGCACAACTTTCCCCCAAAAGATCAAAAGAACATCAAAATATCAGAGGAAAAAAAAAATCTTGTGGGGAATTTGTACAGTGACTTACACTTCACAAAAAAAGTAACAAATAACCAAGGAACATCTGGGCTGGGAATCCAAACGTTTTGAGGTTGAATGAGCCCTCAATATCTATTCCATGTCGTCCTCTGTGATTGTAACCGTCTTCACATTTTAGCATTCTTCCGCAAAACCTTAAATAATGCTCAGATGTTCAGCACATGAATTTCCAGTTACAGTTAGTTCTTTGATCAATTGTCTTTCTGAATTTCTATTTAGAAAACATTCAAGAGAAGAGAAGAGCCTTATGAGCATTTGTCCCCGTTATAAATCCATTTAGTGACATCCTCAGTTTTTAAATTGTTTCTAATTCATTAAATATATCTTTCAGTGCTGTAAAGTAATTCCACTTATTTCTCAACCCAATTTAACTTCAGCAATCATCTAAAAACACCTTATGTTGAAAAAAGATAAATAATGTGGATTACTCCAGCAGCATACAGAAAACCACCCTTGATTCAAGAGAGAAGTTGATTAGCAGAAAGTGAAATTGTCATACAGACAGGTTTTTGCACTTGCCTTCAGAAAAACAAGATGTTAAGGCTCACTGCTACATTAAATAAATTATATTTTGCATTTACTTTGTACCTTGAACCCAGTGTTATTACACAGCACGAACATATGGAAACCTGAAACTGACAAAATCTTATAAAATGTCAAGAGACAAGTCAAAAATAGAACTCAATTCATCAATAATAACCCAAATTTGTTAGCTAATTTTAATTTTTAAATCCTTAGTTTTCCTATATTTTCTTTGCTCCTGGCACACATTTAGTTACTTATCTGCTCTCTACTTTCCCCGCAAATTTCCCATTTTCCTTATCACGTTTCACAATACTTTTATGATAACAATTTTGCCTTATCCATGTGTAATTCAGGAAACTACTGGTCTGACTATTGGTATGGGTGTGGAGCAATTGAGACTGTCTGGCTAGCTCGCTTACCTGAAAAATGGATAGCTAAAGACATGGGGAAAAAAAGCCCTTTCGGCCAGCTACCTAGCTGCAGCTAACTTTTGTCACGAACTATGCTAAACAAAAGGTAGCTGGCTAACACTACTTTGAAGTCTGCAGACACCATGTTTTTATTGTCATCTTCAAGTGTCGCTTGTCTTCATGAAGGACTCGACTGGAAATATGTCTTGAACTTTGTGTTGAGTTATCCATGACATTTTGCAGCAGCATGTAATTTAATTACTCTTTTTTCATAATAAACAAACTAAACTGAAAAGCTCTAAGTTAGCATTAGCTAGCTCACTTTGTTAGCTTTTGCTTGATGGCTAAAATGCTCTAGCTACTGTTACTACAGCAGTACACAGTACAATATATGAATGATTAACGTCATGTGTACTCACTGGTGTGCTTTTATGATAAAAAATAGCTGGCTGAAAAATCAAATGAACCAATGGGATTTTATTTTTTGTCTATTTAAGTGACTGGGGGAAAAAATAAAGCTTTTTGTCTTTCTATACCAACTGATAAGAAAGAAAAAGAAAAAAGTATAAAGCTTTACATTTCTTTTTGCTATTCATTTATATTTTGACTTGCCTGATAACCTTTCACTACATTTTGTCAGTATTGGGGCTCCATATAAAAAGTGCAAGGACCCATCCAAAACTGGAAAACCCCCTTCTGGTTTCAGATTGTTGTTAGAAACACTGCTCTTGTCTAATGATCAAAGAAAATGAAAAAAATACAGTGTCAGAGGGACACAGAATCAGACAAAGGTTAACACACAGACACACACCAGGCTGGATGTATCAAAGTATGACAGCAAAAAAAAGGAAAATAAAAATAAAATAAAGTAGAAAAGGATTTATCTTTTCTCTTTGACCTGAGATTTAGTTGGGACTCAGCAGTGATGCCTGACCTTTGAGTATGAGTTTATACTCTAGAGGACAGAGGTCAAGGAATCCCGAGAGAACACGAGAACGTTGAAGGTCATTGGTACCGTCACTGTCCTCTAGTCAGATGGGAGGGGAAGTTACCGGTGTTTCAAAACACAAGGCAAACTGTTGTACCTTTACGCGAACACAGAAACGAAACCAGCTCATATACATTTTACACAGTTACAAGCATTAAAAAATGGACTGTAGTGGAAATGTTTTTAGATCCAACCTGAAGGAGTTTTTTTCTCTTTTTATATATATAGATATTAACTATATTACAACCACAAGAGAAATAAAGAATAGCAGCTTCTTTCTGTACATGATGAATGTCTCCAACCGTATAAAAGTTAGAAAAGTGAAACAAACAAATGCTCGGCCCACGTACAGATGTTGTAAATGTTGGCGACTAAGTGACTTGTCTAAAAAAATACCTGTTTGTATACAAGGAACTTGCTCTGAACTCGGAGCAAACCCCGATTGAGAGATGTTATAGATATAGTGTTCATATTTGTTTTCCTCTTTATGCTCTTCCCTCCTCATGTTTTTTTTTTTTTTTTTTTGCTTATTTATTGACTGGATTTGGCGTTTAAACCGTAACGGAACAGCACTTTGTGAGAGGGTGTGGCTCAATTTCAGATAAACTCATAAACTGAACCAAGGTCCACAATTTCAATTCGATAAGAGTGCAGTATCTGCAGATTTCCAACCACAATAGAGGAGCAGTGTAGAGGGACGGTAACATCCCTTTGATCACACGTAGCAGACCAAAGTGCTTTTTTTGCTTCCATTTCCAATTCCACGTGTTGGAGAATTACAGGGCAAGACTGAAGTGTACAATTTTGGCAACGAAGATTTGACCTTTCTCCCTCTGGTGTGTTTGTTTCAGCGGATTGGCTGTTGACCTGGCATTACAATGACACCCAGCCTGCTGAGCAACAACTCTACTGAAAGACCGACGGAGACCCTGACCTCTTTTAAGTGCTTTTTCATTAGATATGCTTAACAGTTTCACCATAATGCCCGCCCAAAAGCGACCACAACGGCGGTCATTTATAAAGGCCTATACATTTTGTCTTCCCGTTTGGAAATACATACAAAAAAGTAACAAACAACAATTTATAAAATAATCTTCAGCCATAAAGAGAGAGAGCGAGAACTCCCCCGAATGATTTTTACCTTTAACAGTTTTTTTTGGTCTTCCCACTCAGCAGCAAGGGCAGTGTCACGTCTGACAGCCAGCTGGTAGAAAGCAAAACTAGAATAATATGAAAAAGGTGTGTGGCGGTACAGCAGAACATGGACCTAGTGACAGTTTACTCCACCTTCCTGTGAGTCTCTGAGCAGCCACACCCAGCTGGCGGACATGGTTTTGCTGTATGTGATTTAAAAAAAAAAAAAATAGAGAGAGACAGAGAGCGATGCCACCCACAGACATCAGGTTCTGCAGAGCAGCAGGCGGCAGGGTTTGCAGTCCGGTGGGTGTCTGTCCAATCAGCAGGCAGAGGACTGCGGGAGAGGCATGGCACGTTCGTTTTTGCGTCCTCCATTCATGTGCGCGTACGGCGGGAGTTCGTCCAGAGACGGCCGTACCGCGTTGCCTGAGCCTGTCCCGAGCCCTGGCCCTGCTGCAAGGGCTGTCCCAGACAGCCCATTGGCTGCCTGCTGCCCGGTGGGCTGCTTGTCCATGGCAGCGGTAGACATACAGGGAGAAGAGGGGGAGCTTGGGGCTAGCGAGGGGGCGGGCGGAGCCTCTGAGCTCGTGGAGGTCGGGGTCTGCTGTGGGACTGGGGTTTGCTGTGTCTGTGTGGAAGAAGGGGGGTCTAGAGGAACATCATCCATGTTGTCCACCTTGTCCAGATGGAGCTGCGGAGCTTCGGCCGGCTTGTTATCGGCGCTGTAGAAGAAACTACTCTCTCTAAAAGACGGGTCCAGCTCATCCTTGATGCTGCTGATGATCTCCACAAAGGCTGGACGCATCTTAGGATTGTACTGCCAACACATTCGCATCAGCTCGAACCTACACACACACACACACACACACACACACACACACACAGATTAGCTCAGTCTGCATCAACATGTAGTAATGACTCTATCCTGAGGAACTGTGCCTTCCTACCGCCAAGCCAATATTTACTTTTGCCAAATGTTTGCTTTCTGTTGCTAAAACGGCTGTATGTAACCCCCCTAACATCTTGTTTATGAAGCACAGAGCTGACTTCACCAGCGTCCAGCAGCTGGCAGAGTGAGCTCTACATCAAGCTTTTTATTGTCGGAGTACAGCTAAGAAGCTTTCTTGCTGAGTGTAAGATGAGGAGGTCACTAAACGTCTAGCTACAGCCAGAAGCTGGTTAGCTTTGCACAAAGACTGCAAGAAAGCGGAAACAGCTAGAGCCTGGCTCGGTCCAAAAGATACAAGCATCTCCCAAAACATTTTTACATTTCAGTTTTTGTACAGATTAAACAAACATGACATAACAGTTAGTGAGCTTTAGAGGTGTCCGCAGGAAGATTAGGTTACCTTTGGACAGAACCAGGCCAGCTGTTTACCCTTGTGTACCCTGTTCTTGCCTCCCTTCACTGGCTCCCAGTTAATTTTAGGACTGATTTTAAGACTCTGTTTGTTTTTTGAAGCCCTTCATGGACTAGCTCCAGCCTATATGATCTATTGAATCCGCACGCTCCTTCAAGGTCATTCAGGTCCGCAAACCAGTCACTTCTTGTTGTCCCTAAGACACGGCTCAAGAACAGGGGGAAAAGGGAAATCAAGCTTTCTCAGTCTGAATTGCCTCTCCATGTCAGACTGGCCCCCAGCCTTTCGGTTTTTAAATCACGACTTAAAACCCATTTTTACTCCTTGGCTTTTAATCCGGGATGAGAGCTGAATGTTGCTGTTGTGTTGTATTTTGTCTATTTATTGATTCAAGTCCATGTACAGCACTTTGGTCAAACTGGTTGTTTTTAAATGTGCTTTAGAAATAAAGTTAGATTGGATTGTGTACAGTCTTTGTGCTAAGCTAAGCTTACCGGCTGCTTGCTGTAGTTACATTGTTTGGTTTTTTGTCCAGACATTTTTGCCTTTAAGGCTGAATAAGTTGTTTACAATAAATTGTGTGTATGCAATTACAGGTCATTGACAGACCTGTCAAAATTTAATGCAAAGCTACCAATTATATACCATTCCACACTTTAAAACAATGCATACTGCACAACAATAGCACACTGCAAAAAAAAAAGAAGTAAATTTATAATATGTGTTTAAAGATATAATGTTTTAAAATGATTGTTCGTCGAGAACCCTTTGCCTTCACATTTGTTGTCCTCATGACTTCACCATCTGATGCTTCCACAATGTTTTGTGGTTGGTGGCCAAATTTGTCTGCCACGCTCACAACTCTTTTGATGTGGATTTATACTCTGGCTGTTTCATATTAAGAAGAAACACATCGTGGAGAACACAAGAGCACACAGTGTCAAACAGAAGGGCCACGAATGCTATCAGCTCTGTGGTAAGGAAATCTCAACGGCTGCATACTGAAGGTGCCTTTAGAGCTGCTTATAGTTGCTTAGGAGTTAACTAGCAAAGAAGAGAAACACCTTGCGGACAGGAAGACGTTGGCTTGATGATATAAATGTGTGTGTTGGTGTCTTACAGCATGTCAGGACAGTTCTGTGGCTTCTCCAGCAGCCCTCCCTCCATGACAAAGCGGAGCACCTGCTCATTGGACAGACCTTGGTAGGGCTGTTCTGCCAGTGTGGCAATCTCCCACAATACAACCCCGAATGACCTACACACAGGGAGATAGACACGTGGTTGAATCAAAGTGTCTTCCGTTATCACCACCATGCCCTGAACACATTTGTTTGGAGGCAGTTATAGCGGAAAATGAGGTCACCGTGTGTGTGTCTGTTTGTGTTTGTGAGCGTCTGCTTACCAGACATCTGAGGTGGTGGTGAAGACTCCGTCCTTCAGAGACTCGGGTGACATCCAGCGGACAGGGAGCAAACCCTTACCACCTTTGCGGTAGTAGTCCGTCTCATAGATGTCTCTGGTCATGCCAAAATCTAAAGACATACAAACATAGGCACGCGCGCGCACACAGGGAGTAAGTGAAGCATCGACTATAAAAAACACTCCACAGCATTTGATAAAGACGGCTCTAACTGTTTTAAAAAGATGAACCAAGGGTTTTCTTCCTGTGATGTGTGGGCCTATATTCCACAGGAGGGCGCTCTTTACTGACATTATGGGCCTAGATGTATTACTATATTAACCATAATCCCTTAGAGATTACTCTAAAATAACAATATATTAAAAACGATGTTACCATACTTGTTTAGATGATGATCTAGAGCTTCTTACACTCAACAAGGTTACACATTCAATAGTTGGTTAGATCCTATTCTCTGGAATTAAATCTGGTAACAAGATATTTACGTGCATCACATTCACACTGAGGAGGTCTGCTCTGGATCTGGGGATGAAAACATGTTGACAGAGCTACACCGCTGCCACACAGAGGGTCCCCTTTCCTGGGATTAAGGTTACCATGATGATCTGGTCGTCCGGTAACATGATAATTAGACATCTTCACTCAGTCAGCATGCTCCCAATTTCCTCCCACTTCTACTCCCCAGCTGACAGTGACCTCTGACCCTTATCACAGCCCTTTACCTCCTATCTTAACAGTGAAGTCCTCGGCCACCATGCAGTTCCTGGCCGCCAGATCTCTGTGGACAAACTTGTTGGCGTTGAGGTAAGCCATGCCGTCGGCGATCTGCCCGGCCATCTGAAGCATCTTCTTCAGAGGGGGGAGAGACAGGCTTGACCACTGTTGCTGGAGACAGACAGACAGAGAGAGATGGGAGAGTGTAAGCTCTCAGAAGAAAAACGGGGGGGTTCATTCTGCCCTTTAACAGTGAACGTTGTAATTGAGTTTGTGTGTTTCCTTTTTACGTTGGGTTTGTTTTTTGGAGGGTATCCATATTATGTAGTTGTGTATGATTTATTGCGAAAATTAAATTGTGATAATTACACTGGAAAAATCCAGGGACCTGGTGGGAAGGAGCCAATACAGGTTATAAGTCAGACAATACCTCTTTAGGTCGGAGGGAGCGCAAGTAACTCTTCAGGTCTCCTCGCGTCATCAGCTCCATGATGACCAGGGTGGGCTGGCCCTGCGAAACCACTCCCAGGAGACGGACCTGCACCAAACACAGCACGCCACATCACCATGACACAAGAACTGACTGACACCCTTGTCTTTGCTTTAGGAAGCACGTGTACAAAGTGCAACCCACCGCTGCTCTGAGTGATCTTAATGCGCGTGCGCGTGTGTGCGTGTGTACATACCACATGGTGACAGTTGAACTCCTTCATGACAGAGGCTTCATTCAGAAACTCTATTCTCTCCCTCATGCTGGCAGACTCGTTGACAGTCTTAATGGCAACGCGGGTCTCCGGTTCATCTTTGACCACGCCCTTTGCCAAGCCCTCATACACCATGCCAAAGGACCCCTGGCCCAGCTCACGACTCAGGGAGATCTTCTCCCGTGCCACCTCCCACTCGTCTGGTACATACACTGCAAAGAAGAAAAGATGTGTTACAGACGTTTTCACTTATTCTCAACAGAAACAAAACTGTGCACTACATTTCTCACACGCTACTACACTCACTTTCTGCGGCACTGAAGTACTCTGGATTGACTGAGGCGTAGAGGACTCCATTTCCAAGCCGGTCACTGTTCCTGACCGAAACAAAAACAAAAGTGTTTACAGAAACACACACACACACCACATGCATGCATCCTTTTGGGGTCTGAGTGTTTACAAACATACATATCAGTTTGATCTTCCACAGAATATTGGCAAAATGCAATACTGAACCATTTCTGTTTGAAAGCGTCCTGAAGATAAAATATGTGCAGAGAATTTTTATTTTTACTCCTGAAAGAACTAACATCAGCAGGGCAGGAGTTGTTAATGTCCTGCATAATTTCATTCCAAAATCACTACATTGTCTGTGTTTAAATCACATAGAAAAAAAACCCATAAATTTTATTTTTCTACATATTGGTAGAAGCATTTTGCTTTGGTTTGTGTGCTGTTCAGAGTGGTTTGTGATTCAATGTGGCTCTTCATGTGACCACACCAACCATTAGCAGCGGGTTGAAACATTAATTCTAGAAGAAAGAAAGAAGAAAATGTTCCTCCCCAGGCTTCCATGTTTCCCTAATTTGGTTTCTTTGGTCTGCTCGGGTTAGGTAGACGTATTATATGTTTCTGCTACATGATTTTCTGTTTTATGCAATTGTATACTGTAATGAAACGATAGCTGTGCTCTACTTGTATAACCACAGTACACTGAAACACAAACCTTTTCCTGCTGAAGACCACCAGCATTGTGACTAAAAGGCAGATGAGGAAGATGATGGAGAGAGGAACAAAGATCATAGCGTAGAGGACGTTTTCATATCCTGTTGGGTCAAACACTTTGATTATTACAGATAACATCATTTCTGTGCTGAACATACGTGTAAGGATACAAAGGAGTTTGACGCATGACATTGTGTGTCTTACGTTCAGCCACGTAGAAATCCATAGAGTGCGTCCAGGAGCCGTTGCCAGCCAGTGACGTGGCTCTTACTCTGACCGAGTAGTTTCCTGGACTGAGGTTGGACAGCCGGACGCCACGCTGGGCCTGATACATCTGACCAGAGACACATTCGTGTTTCTCGGCCTGACACAAAACAAACAAACAAAAAAAAGAGCGTGTTATTGACTGAACTTTAAAAATCAGAACACAGGACCTGCCTGTTCCTCACTGTGCGATAAATAGTAAGGGCAAGACTCACAGTGCCAGACTCACCCTCCTTCATGATTAACAAATAATAGGGTTCACTCAACATAACTTGGGTCACTGGGGGTCAGCTGATAGATCAGTGAGTTCTTTTAAGAACAATTGCTGCCACTTAACAAATTGCGGTTTCTTTGTTTTTATGGTTGTGTTTCTGATACTTCACTCCTGTTAACTGGGTTTCTCTCTTCTGATTCACGACCAAAACTGTTTCTTGAAAATTAGCATTTACTCTTACACTATTACACTTTGGTTTTCATGGATCTACCTTGCACTACCCCCAGACCAATAGGTCACGCTTCAATATTGCCTTTTGCCATTGCCATTTTTTAGTGGAAGGCCTAGTCCACTGATATATATTAATCTGATGTGAGGGCTAAAATTTGATGTAAATGTCAGACCACTATTATGTAAGTATGGCTTCAACAACAACACATTTTTAATACACAGTATGGATTAGTTATCAGATGGACATAATGAAATATTCGCAAAATCTGGAATAAAAAGGTGTTCGATTTGATTGTTACAACCTACAAACAATGGGGCAACAGACTAATTTAGTCTATGAAGCAAAATGAATGTTTGGTATTCATTTAAGGGCTGGTTGGCTAGTTGGAAACAGAGGGGTCAAGCAGCATTTTGCTCAGATCGTGACAGTGCTAATGAATAAATTCTGAATACACATAATTTTTAAATTCATTGTCAGAAAGAGCAATCCCCCCCCCAGTGGTAGATGGACAGATGCGGTCTTACCTCAGTAGCCAGTTTAAACTTGATCTCATACATGAGGATGAGTCCGTTGGGGTGAGTTGGCTCTGGCCAGCGCAGAAACACCCAGTCCTCTTGGCCTTCCCAGGTCACTAGGCCGGGTATGTCGTCAGCCTTTTCTGGAGAACCGCAGGGAGAATAGGTTACCATGGTGACCGCAGCGGTCAGAGGTTTTAATTCCTGCAACAGCCTTGTGTGTCCAGCATATTTTTAAACATCTGCAGCGGCTAATTTATCTGAAAAATCATCTGGGTACCTTCAGAGTCTCGGCAGAGATACATACAGGTAAGTCTGTACTTTAGTTATGCTACAGTGCTGGTCAGTTATTATTATTAATTAGCATGTGCTCTATTATTTAAACACTTCATTTCTCCTCTAACCTGCAGGCTTGGTTCGGGAGAAGACAAACTCTGCAGCGCTGCAGCGTTGGACCTGTCGATTGCAGGCGTGAACGTCGATGCGGTAAACTGTGAACGGCTGCAGTTCAAAGATCTGCAGCTCACGCTCCGTCACAGATTGCTCCACAAACTCAAACTCTCTGTCCGCCGGCTCCACATCCGGAGTACTGCTGTTACCAGCGGCTTGGAGTGGAGGAACAGTGCTGTTGTTAGTGTGCAGCCGGTTGCGGCGGGAGTGAGTGGAGTTGGCAATGCCAAAGAGATCTCTACGGCGACGATCAGGTGGCCTGGAGGTGAGAGGAAGAGAATAGTGGAGTGGAGATACATGAGGTGTAGGAGGGAGGGATGGATGGAGAGAGAAGACAGAGGACAGTTTTAAGTTAAGTATGGTAACACCAATATAATCCAATCAAATACTAGCAATTGCTAGGAGCAAATGCTACAAGACACTAACAAAAGTAAAATGAAAATGTAACATGCAGATTAGAGGAGGATTTTGCACAGAAGTTGATGAAGCACAAGATATGACTAGCTATTGGAAATCCTTCCTCCCTCAAGCTTCAGTCTATGCATGATTTGATCATTTTCCTTGCCATTTGGCTTTAATTTAAGCAGCTGGGATGAAACTTGGTAGGGAAATTCTAAATAAAATGACTCAACGGTTCGGTGGATTTTGCAGCTATTGAACCTTCACAAGCAGTTTCATGGCAGCGTGAGATATACCACACCCACCACTACCACATTTGATCACAGTGCAACCAAGTTGTTCCTTAAGCATGTGAAAAGTTACAGTATTTTGATCTTGGAAAAAAAGTTTGTCGTCACGTGTAACGGGCAAATGAGCAATGTTGTTCTTCTGCGACGGTTTCAGACGAAATGTGGACAACTTTCTGGTGTATATGTAACAGTCACATAAGCAGAGTTCAAAGATACAGTTTACAAGGTGACATGCACGCTGGGTTCACACACCATTAGCGGGAAATGCAGGAAATGTCATGGCACCTGTTGGTTATTTTTGGAAGAACATACATCAACTCTTTCGTTCTATACCTACAAAAACCACCGAGAACTAATTAAAATCAGCTGGTCCAAGCTCTGCATGTGTGTGTGATACACATGTCTGTAGTGCGAGGCAGCGGGCCGACTCCCTAAATCAGACAGAAGCCAAAACATAATTTAGAAACTTTTTAGAAAAGTTTAGAAACTTAAAATTCATAAAGGAATTATAAAGAGGGTATCTGGGTTGTTGTTTGTAACTACTAAGCATAACTATATAATGGCCTGATCTGTTGTGAAGTTACCTGGAAAATGACCCTCAAGCATTGCAAGAAAAATTCCACATTAAAAGCAGCGAAAGAGCATTTACTTTTCGATTCATCGTTTTGGTTTAGACAAAGTTACATATGAAGTTATATGCTGTCATGGCCAGTGCACACCTTTGTCATACAATAAAGCATTGATGGTGATGAGTCGATTACCTTGGTGTAAAAATGGAGTTGTGCAAGAAGTTTTCAAAGACTTTCCGGTAGGAGGCATCAGCAGCTTCGGCCTCCAGGTCCTCAACGGATTTGGGGCAGGGGCAACAGGGGCCTTTGTCTGCCCCCTCAGAATCAGGCTTAGTGGGCTTGGTGTCCTCTTCCTGGTCTCCCACACCTATGGCAGCGATCCTTATGGGGATCTTCAGCTCTAAGGACGAAGAAGAGGATGCATTTCAGACAGGTGTACTATAACTCCACAACTAGCAATATGGTGTATAAACTGTGTGTGTGTGTGTGTGTGTACCTTTAGAGCAGTAGTTGTGCTGATACAGCTCTTGGTCTTCGGCTTGTTGCTGCCACCTGACCAGGTAGTAGGTTTGGTTTCCGTTTGGTGAGACAGGGGGCGACCAACGCACCACCAACTGCGTAGACGAGTTAGAGTACGCTCGCACATCCTGAGGCATGGAGGGTGCTGAAAGAGAGACAACAATAAAAAAAAAACCCACTAAATTATTCTGATTCTGATTATTCCCTCCGCGGCTGCTGGGAAATGCTGCCAGTGCAGATGTGCTTCTCTGACATCACAACGCTGTTAAGAATTTACAGCACAGCTGGATTTAGTTAAAGTAGTCTTCCAGTTCATCTAATTATATTATATATTATTATAGGTCTTTTTTGTAACTCCGTTTTCCTCCATCTCTTTGAGATGCAGCTGTGTTTACTAATACAGTCTTCTCCATGTTTGGATTACGTCATCGTGAAACAATCCCACATCTATTTGAAAAACAAGCAGCAGTAAGAACAGAACATTTACCTGTCAGTAAGCGTGCTCTGGTGAGAATGAACGTTAATATCGTAGTGAAACAAATCAGACGAAGCGTTCACGACTTTCCAATCTTCCAGCACTGCTACAACCACAACTGACTGCTCTTCCTTTACTGTCCGCCTGAATTAAGGAATGACTTCTGACCTACATACTACACTCACGAAAATGTATCGCTTCAAGACACTCTCTGACATTACTGGCTTTTATAGGCTTCGCTGAGATAAATTTCAAGCTCACTCTTTTAGTACCTCTGTGTTATTTGCAATCAATCTTGGCTCACAGTAACGTCTGTAATATCTTCTGTGACAATGCAGCCTGCTACCCTTAACCTTAACAACTGGTTGCTTGTAACCTTGGTGACCTATGAAACGATACCTACCTGAAGGGCTGGTGCGGATGTAGACCACCTTGCTCTTGGCACTCGGCATATGTTTGTCCTCCACCATGAGTGTGATGGCCTTGACGAACACAGCATACTGCGTCCAGGGCTTCAGGCCGGACAGCAGGACTCCGGGGTCAGAGTCCTTGTCTGGCCTCAACTCCACGTCCACCATGTTCCAGCTGTTGGAGCCACAGCCATCCTGCCCCTCGAACTCTGTGATGTTCTGAAATGGCCTGGAAGCAAAAGGGTTAAATAGTTACAAGTATATTCACATATATTATTGAAGAGATGTGACTTAAGTTAGTGTGTTTCTCAGATCTTCATAGTTAATAAGACTGTTTTATTCTTGGGTTAACATTGTCACATGTCACAAACTCCAAATGTGTTTTCACCCCCCCGCTTTTATGACTATTTTCAATTTGCACAGAAAAAACCTGAGTGGAAAAGCTAAAAATTTGAAGAAAAAAGGTCAAAATAAAAAAGGTTTTTATGCTTGACAGAGGTGGAAAAGTTGGTGTATCGATAAAATGAGTGCAGTGGAAACTGACTTGGTAGTTAAATCGTGACACACGAAGCAGGTGACTTAAATGACGAGAGAGAAAGAGAAAAGTAGCGGAGATAGTAACGTTCCTCAAATTAATACATAAGACAAACATAATCTTTGCGTCACGTTTTGCAGATGTTTTTTTTGTTCATTTGAGCTTTGACTGAAACTCTTTAAATTACGTCATGTTGTTGTGCCCTCTTCTTCTGCAATGGCTTAATGGCACCCAACTGGAGAATTGCTGCCTCCAGTTGTTCATCTTAATAAGCCCAACTTTTAAAATAATCACATAACAGTAGTGGATGGAAACGCATATTAATTAGCAATTTCTTATGTAGATTTATGTAAATGGTTTTAAAATTTGCACCAAATTTAGAAACTTGGCTCCACATGGCTACTAATTAAATTGATTTTATTTGCTGCTCAGTGTATTTAAAGTCCTCTTAATAAATCTGATAGTGAGGTTCAGATAGAGCTCTGATTTTTGTTTCAGCTCCTATCACTGCTGCAGTCTGTAGTGCTCAGGCTGGGAAAGGAAGCAGCTAACAATTGCAGGCAAATCTGAGAAACGTACGCTTCCTTGTAGTAGACGATAAAGCTGATGAGGTCTCTGTAGTCAGGGGGGCGATAGCGTTGCCAGGTGAGTTTGATCCTTGTACTGCTGGTGCTGTTGGACTTAAACTTCAGGATAGTACTTTCACCTATGGGAGAAAGGAATGAGGGAGGGAGAGTCGAGTTAAAATCAAAGTGCTTCAGTATGTTTTTGTTAAAATATGCAGCAATTAGTTTGGGTGACAGTGGTGCAGTAAATACTGACATGTGGTGTGGAACAACATCAGGCTCAGAGGAGGCGTTTGCAAACGGTTTGTAAGCTAGATTAACTCCTCTACATGTACAGGACCGTAGCCATTTAAATATTTGTGGGGTTGTTTTTTTTAGACTGAAGCTCACGCGACACTTACAGATGGCTCTGTCGCCGTTGTTTCGGAAATCGCTCTCCTCAAAGTGGCCCTGGATGCCCGTCTTCTCCCACATCTTGCGGATCTCGGACGTGCAGAGCTTCGGGTTGGCTCTAAAGAACAGCGTCCCTGCCTTGATGGTGAGGTTGTGCTGCTTCCAGTCCCAAAGATACTGGAGCTGCTGGTTGTCAAATGCCGAGAAGGCATACACACTACAGGGCAGAAAGAAGAGAGGAAGAATGAATGCTAGGCAACAATGTATTTCTCAAGTCTACATTCATTGTCTCCTTGTTGGGTTATTGTCGGTTTTGCTATTCATGCCAAGTTGAAGGCCTACTTTCTGATCAAGGACAATGCCATATTTTCAGTGCATAAGGGAGAGGGAAATGGAGAGGGAGAGGAGCAGTTTTTATGAGTCGTTGGGTAACACCCAGACATTCAGGAATGACTGTTATGTAGGCCTTGGGACAGTAAGATTCCTGTGAACTCATGGAGAAACAGACGGAGGAGGGAGTCAAGGACTCTCTATGACCCTGACAGAACCTTTCCTTGTACTGTGAATGTTATGCTGTATTATAATTTTGCCGTTTTTTTTATTTAATATTAGTGATATTACAGACACCAACCCAAAACAAGTAGGTAAAATACTTTCCAGTCTGCACCCTCACAGTCAAAACATCCTTTCCTTTTCTCAAACATTTCAGTGATGACCTTGACTAGTCACATTAAAAACACCAGTGTTGCACAATTGCTTGGTTACTACGACAACTCTCTACAGCAACCGGGCAAATCTGGGATTAAAAAGTGTCGTCCCTCACATTTAGAGTGCGGCAACAAAACAGACTCTTTAAAAAGACAGTAATTTATCCAGTCTGTTGACCATGGAGCCGAGTACTATTCACTACAATAAATCACTATTCAAGAGAATCCTCTGAAGCAAAGGCTGTTTCAAGAGAAAACAACCCAGACTGTGAACCAACATCAGTCACCTGTGAGCCGTTGGGGCCTTAACTGGGATTGCGTGTGTGCGCGCATCTATGCGCTTGCAGTTTAATTGTGTGCGTTTTGAGTGTGTGGTCCTACTCGTCCAGAAGGTCCTCTCCATCGATGTATCTGAGGCTGCGGAGGAAGGCCAGGGAGCTCAGAGTGTGGGAATGTCTGATCCACACATAACCCGTCACCCTCTGGATCAAACCTGTGAAACTCTCCAGCTCTGCCACCATGTTGTCTAAACAAACACAAAGACGCCCACAGACACACCGCTGTTATTAACCATCGTTTCATTAGCGTCTATTGATGCATTTCTACCTTTTTGTTTTACTTTGCACTAAACTACGTTCATGGTTGACCGCTTTGTTTTTATACGTGATTTACTGAAAATCACTTCGTTAAAACATAAACAAACAGCTATATACCGAAATCCCTTTTCTTTTCCTTACTCCATTTATCCTTCTCCCTCCATTCCCAACCTCCCCCTCCTCCTTTAAGGCTCTTCTTCCTCATCCTATTATGTGTATTTCTAATTTTCCAACACCTGGAAATTATACAGAACTTTGGTCTAGACTAATCCTGACATCACTTCTGCTATGTAGAACAATTTATGGTCTGTTAAAAACAGTTTGTCCAGACTGAGAAATTTGGCACTAACGCCTTATGAGACTACAGGTGTCATCAATCATGGTTTAACAGTAGGTAACCAACAAACCTCTTTAAATTTCCTGAGCAGCTGACAAATTGTAGAATGGTGCTAGTGGTACAGTGTAGTACTTACAGCCTCTCCGGATGTTGATATGCAGGTTGCCTTTGATAACAGTGCAACCTTTGAGAGACTGAGCAGCATCCATGGAGTCGATGACCTTCTCTTCGCATACTTTATCGCACAGGCCATCGCAGGCTGTACAGAACATACTGGAGACAGGAAGCGATAGATGGGAACAGGAGACGGTACAGTGCCTTTTTACTGACGTACATTCATTCCATAAACTCCTTTAATCTCCTTATTTCTGTCCCTGAAAATGTTTGTCAGTGTTTGCCAGCGCAAGCTAAATGATGTCAAGGAGAGATTCTGAGATTTAACTAGAAGATTTCATTATTCTACCAAACTACAGGTTTATTATGGGACTCCGTTTACCTCAAAACAAACTGACTTTTATTGTAGCAGTATATTCAGTTTTTGCCCTGATAAAATGTTAAAATGGAAATGGGGGGGAGCTCACCTGTTGGGTGCGGTGCGCATGTACCCTGGTGGGCATTCAGACATGCACTCTCCACCATGGATGATGAAGCTGTCGAAGTCGGGGAGGTGGACTTTGGAGCAAAGCTCGGCACTGATGCAGCGCCAGCCCTCGAACTTGTAGGTGTTGGGAGGGCAGTCAGCCACGCAGCGTCCTTGGTGGTAGTAATGCACGCACGCCGCACACGCTGTGTCACTACCAGGGACTGTGCAGCTGCCCAGACACTGAGGGTGGCAGCACTCGCCATCCGGTGTGCACGCTCGCCGTACACACTTCTCTGGGCACTCTGGTGGGGAGAGAAAAAGAGTGAGAGAGAAAGTATGATACCTTTGCAAATGAATAAAAAATATTGACTTTTTTCCCAGGATGTAAAATTTTTGGTAATTTAAAATAATTGACATGAAGACACATTAGGACATCTGTCCAATAAAAAGGAGTCACACTACAGAATTTTTACATATTACACAAAGCAAAATCAGCAAAGCAATCTGACAGCTGAAAAGCTCTCACTTGAAAAGGTAATACAAACCAGAGCTTTCCTTTAGTGCATCCCCCAAAAATATTCCTTTAATCTGCGGAGAGTTAGATGGGAAGATTGATACCACTCTCGTTTCTGTATTGACTATATGAAGCAACAGCCAGCAGGGCCTGGCTCTGTGCACAGGAAACTAGCACTTTTTAAAGTTCACTACTTAAAATGTCTCATCTCGTACGTTTAATCCATACAACAAAATGAGGTCTAAAAATTACACATCGGTTTTTGTGCGGACGGAACAAACGGAATATTGGGATATTTTGGGAAACATGCTCATTCACATGTTCAGAAAACAGAGGAGAGCAAGAAAGAATACTTTGCTAATTGGTACTGTGTCCTGTTTTGTTTTTCTTAATATCCGCATACAGAGGACTGCCAGTCTAGATCTGGGACACCCTCTCATCCACAGCATGAGTACAAAATTTTGTGGCAAGTGTCAAATGTTGCTATTAGCATTAGGATGCAGTTCTAGTGTGATAATGGATTGCAATGTGGTGTTTAAACTACCTGCCTAGTCTGGATCTGGACAATCAACAACTGCAACTTAAAAAGGAACATCAGCTCTACGTTATCCCAACAACACCTGCCTGAACGTCCCTGACTTTAGCAAACGTCAGCGTTTAACAAATAAACACTACCCGTCAGTCCTGAGCAAATGATTTGCATTTAGTGGGGAGTGACTGACAACACACATTAAAACAGGCACCCATGAGGAAGGTGTGAAGTCTGCTTCAAAAACACCTTCGTATGTATCGGTTCTTTTGACTATGCATAAAGCCAAACAAACCATGTCCAGAGAACAACCTGTCAGAGCTGTTTGTCTTCTGCTTTTGTTTGCTGGGTGGGCTGGTGTTGAGCCCAGTAGCGCTGTGCGGAGTTCATCGCAGAGTCACAGTGACAAAAGATTCTCCGCCCCGGGTTTTCCACCGAGCGCTGCTACAAATAACTCCTCCAGTTGCTGCGGTGTCCCTCTAAATAAGAGGATATTGTAACTGATGACAGAGGATACTGATTGAGGAGCTCCAGAAGGAAAAACACTGGACTGACCCAGGTGCAGTATAGAACGTGGTGGCCTGTTGGTCATTACGGCAGGGGAATTTAAAATCACCTTCATCATCACCATTAAAGTAAGCAATTAACGTTTAACCCAGCTTTACAGACAGCAGCTCATTGGTTCAACATGAGCAAAGCAGATTGGTTCAAACTCACTCTATAGAGAGAAATGTTCAAGACCTTGAAAGCATCTACACTATCTACCACAGAAACAAACACTAATTGCTATGGAGACGCTTTAAAGCACTGCTTGAAATGATTTGTGTGTGTGTTGGTGAGTATGTCTGTATGACCAAAAAAATAAATGAATAAATAAATAAATAAGTACTTTTGATTATGTCATCCACTTAGATTAGCCAAGGGCTGTGTTTAAACAGAAACCAAACAAAGTGAAGTTATGGGAAATGTTTACAGGATGGTGAGTGAGAAAACACTGAAACGCGTTTCAACACGTTGTCTCCGCCGTCTCTGTCAAACAAACTGAAGACATCAGGCCAAGCGGAGATGCCTACTGCTACTCTCTTATTTGTATTTCAGTGATTTCTCCATCATGGGTCCAGATTTCTGTGTTCAAAGTGAGTAAACGGGCGATGAAAGGGCTGGACGCTGGTCTCTCTCTCTCTCTCTCTCAAAAAAAAAACAAAACTGATGTCAAATTGGAAAAGGAAGTCATTCCCAGGGCCTGAAACAGAACAGAAAGTTCCAACCATCTGCTTAATCTGTTTTAACGCTTAAGAAAGGGTGCTTTCGGGAAAAACGGCCGCCATAAAAAGCACAGCTGAATTTTGTCCATCAATAATAAATCGATAATAAGACGATATTTGGCATCCTTCAAAAATGTGTCTGTAAAAGTCTGATATTGTGCTAGCTCACTCGTGACATTAATGGAAACAGGTCTCTTTTATTCATTTCAAACTGAAGTATTCAAATAAAAACCATTTGATCTGTTGCTTTATTAGCCCTGAGCTCTGTCGTAGCTGTGGGCTTAGTGGCTTTGATTCGGTCATCATCAGCGTAATGGTGTTTGAACCTGAGTTTGGTTAGATTGTGGTCTTTAACGCCAGCCGATTTTTGACACAGTTTGCAGATTGACGTCTTTTGAGCAACGTCCGTTTTTTTTTCCCCAAAGCAAAACCACCTCCATGAGAGTGAGGATGATCCACGTCTAGTTATTCAATCTAATGACGTAGTCTACGAGGTTGCTGGTGTCAGTGTTTTATCTCCTAGCGCCGTTTGTTCACTTATTAACTTCAGTCACACATTTTTCGGCAGCTGTTGCTTGTTTAACTCTAGCGCATGTGTACTGCATGCATGACGCAGTAAATGGGAGGACAAGGTGTTTTTGAGGTTTTAGAAGCCACCAAGACAGAAATACAGAGGAAAAAGTAGCCACTTTGAGCTACAATCCCACCTGTCAGTGATGACTTGTTGAGTTTCAGGGTAAATGTTTATTGTTCGTCATCCTGCTGAACTACAGTTTTTGCATGCTACACAGCCTGTCAGACCAAATAAATGATAATAGAAAAGGCCTTGAGCTGTGAAACCAATCCAGCACATCTGCTTGGGAAATCCCTAATTGCAATATAAACTGCATACCATTAATTAAATACAGCATCTATGTGCTGCCAGGTGTTTTAAGCACTTTGTTTTTCATTTACAAGTCATTTCCCCCTGAGTGACGTGTGAGTTTCGGGCAGTAGAGAAATCTACTGTTCTTCCCATATGACAAAAAAAATCATCATCAGGCAGTGCCCATGAGATGACCTTCCAGCCCGCCTCCTGACTGACACAGAAGCCAATCAGAACCTTCAGACTGTGTGGTCCCACCAACCATTCAGCAGGCTGTTTGTGTTCAGCAGGAGGGAACCAGTGCTGCATTTCTCTGGCACAGAATGTTCTTTCTCTGCTCCGAGCACCCCCCCCACCCACCAACTCCATCTCGCCCTCTGAACCCTACAATGGGGTGATGGGGGTTGTGTTCAAATGGTGTAATTTTGCAATGTGATAATGTACGGCCTCAGGCCTGTAGAGAGAGGAAGGAGATAATGTGTGCCTGGAGTTTGGCTCAGGTTGAAGCTGTTAGTCTGTACCCTCCTGGACATAACTCATTGACCAGTATAGGGTGGACAGCAGCGGTGGTGGTGGTGGGGGGTGACGGGTACATACAGTGTAGATCAGCATTCCACTGGACATCTGCAGCATAATGGATCCCAGCTTTTACTCTACTTACTGCACTTGGGTTGATGCAGAGCTGCAGCACAAGGGGAGGTGGTGGTGGAGTAGGAGGAAGGGGTAGAGGAGGAGAACAAGGAGGAGGAAGTGTAAAAGGGTGAATGAGGAAGAAAATGAACTACAGATGGGGGAGATGTGGAAGAGGACATGGAGGAGGAAGCTGGAGAAGGAAGGTGTTTAAAGATGGAGATAAAGGGATGGAAACCAAAATCACCCTTTAAAAATGTATTTTTCAAAGCAGCACGCACGCACGCACACACACACACACACACACACACACACACACACACACACACACACACACACACACACACACACACACACACACACACACACACACACACACACACACACACACACACACACACACACACACACACACACACACACACACACACACACACACACACACACACACACACACACACACACACACACACACACACACACACACCAGAGCTGCCAGCTGGGGGAGCCAGACAACACAAACACAAATAGAATTAAGCGTGTGGTACCATTTCAAAATATATGAAATGATAACTATGAATTGAGCTCACTCTATTAAAAACACTCATCATCAGTGTTGAGTAAAGACCAAAGACACTGAGCTTGGTTAAAAAAATACCTCATTCAATCACATATTATTTAAGCTGCGTTACTTAGTTTTTGGTAAAGAAACAACAACAACCAAACAAACCAAACAAAAGTGAACGCTGGTGATGTTGAGCATCGAAAAAAACTTTTAGGGTACATAATATACATAATTTAACTTTGGGAGTTTTCAAAGTCTGACTCTGTGCACCATATTCTATACTAAATATTTAGTGCTGCTGACACTGTCAGGTGACCTTGGACTGCCTGGGGTGTGCTGAGGGTAATGGGGTGTCACTGACAATGCTGGACCACAAGGAAAATCAGATTGTTAATGTGTGTGTTTTTTATTATTTTTTAACATTTTATGAATACAATCTACCTAGGTTATTACTTCCTGTGCCCAAAGACTAGAGGTACTAGAAAATGAATGTGTAGGTTGTAGAAAGTTAAAAAGTTGCTAGTCTCCACGCATTAAAACGGTTCACCTTTTCCATTCTGTCATTATGCAGCACTGTCGGCTGTAGGATAAAGATCTCTGCTGTGGGTCATATAGCCGATACAGGCCATTCCAGGGAAACTGAAATACCAGCCCAGCAGGAAGGTAGGCTGGGAAACTCACACCAGTCACGATCCAAACTGTGGGAAAATGCCTGGGTGGCTGCTTCTAAACTAATCAATTATAGCAGCCACGTAGCATCAAACGATGTCAGAGTCATATAGGATAATAAAATATATTGCTGGCTGGTTAAACAGTGAAAGTGTTTCTCTCTCTCTCTCTCTCACACACACACACACACACACACACACACACGCTCTCCTGTTGATCAGCTGATCAACTAAGAATTAAAAGCCTTTCTAATTGTTAATCCTTG